CCAGTTTCGGGCTTATCGATCTCAAGGGAGTGAGCTACAGTCTCGTCGTCAGAGTCCTTCACTTGACTCATTACCCCAAAACCCTAAAAAATTATATATACAAGGAATCACAAAGCACAGAGAGAGAGAGAGAGACAGAAGATTGTGAGTGGCAGAAAGTCGTAATTGAAGGCGACAGAAATCACTGTGGAAAGCGAGAGAGAGAGATAGAGAGAGATAGAGAGAGTAGTGGGGTTAGTGTGTATGTTTGAATATGTTGAGAGAGAGAGGAGAGAGAGGGGGACTGAATTGGGGGATTGGAATTGGATTTTGTTTTCTTTTTTGGATTTTGAGGGCAGGTTTGAGGCGATTTTGATTGATTTTTTTTTTTTTTTTTTTAGGGTTTTTGGGTGGCTGAGAAAGGCATGTGATCCCAAAAACCCAATTTCCAGGTGTTGGTGGTGTTGGATTTATTTTGGGGTGTGATATCCACACACCCTTTTTTACTTCTCTCACACCTTTTTTATTTTCAGCCGTCGGATCGGATGAATTGAAGAAGATCAACGGACAGAAATTAACAAAAGGTGTGTGAAAAGTAAAAAGGGGTGTGTGGATAGCACACCCCTTTATTTTTATGGGTGTCACTGTCAACATCTTGTCTTCATTGTTTTTGTTGGCCTAAAGTTTTGGGAATTCCCTTGGCACACGGGGTTTTAGGGATTGAGCAAAAATTCCTGTAGTCAAATTCTTCAATTTGCATAATCAATTACGTCACTTATCTGATCATACAACGAATCAACACACAAATAATCACATTCAAGGCTCCTTGCTCCCACTAATCGAGTCTTTAGAGGGCATCTCACACGATATAATGTTCAAACCTACGACTTTCTCCAATACAAGAGTCCTACTTGTTGAATATGTGATCATATGAGTGACGTATTTTGTAAGAAAAGAAAATGATCCCAAATACACGAACTAACAAAGGGAAAAATATGTTAGTGGATGGTCCAATGGTGAGTTAATGTCAAGCCATGTAACGTACTTGCTACTAAGCAGAATTTTAAAATTATTGGTTAATGAAAATTAAATATCGAAGGTTAGAAGGGCACATCCTACACACCATGCGTAGTTAGCAAAATCGTGTATATAACTTGAACAAAATATTTTCTTAAAAAATGGGGAGGGAGTTGTCAACGGCAAATGGTATTTGTCCTTTCTTTCTTGGCCTGATTGGAAAGGAGGCAGATTCTCGGCCTCTCATTTTCCATGCCCTCCTGTGATCTTTTGTTTGTGTGGTCAAGTTTAAGTCACGTCAATATTTTATATTATTATTTATTTTTATCTTATTATCTGTATAAAAAATAATATAAAATATTGACGTGACTTAACCATGACCACACAAAACATAAGAGCAGGAGAGAGCAGAGAATTTGCCTCCGATTGGGAAAGGAGGAGACATTGTTGTGCTGCTGACGTGCTTCTTTGTCTAACACTACTATTCTTATATGCTTTAATGTGTTTCAATTCAATCGACACTCGATTGGAAATATATATATTTATTTTTTTGGTCAATTCGTTTGGATATTTTTTAAAATAATTTAAAAATGCTTTAAAAAAATATTTTTGGATTTCAAAACTACTTGAAGTGTTTAGTACAGAAAGCATGATACTGACATTTTTACTAGATAGTGGTTCAAAAAACAATTTTACCGAAAATATTTTTAATCACATCAAAAGTACTTCCAAACAAATCATATTTTTTTAAGCACGAAATCTTACCCTTCATGAAATAACATCGTTCAACACAATGAATTTTATCAGTCACAGCATGTTAAACTTCTCACGGCTATGTCATTTGACAACACAGACGGCTGAAGCAAAAAATCCATCAAGTCAAAGCAACTTTTGAAAATAATGCAGACATATATAGGTAATGGGAAGCATGAGCTTCCACTTTGAAAATGGGTTTGGACTCACTAAGACCACCACCAACATTCTCGCTAAACGTCGTTGTTTTGATATTTTAATGGAAAAATGCATAGATCGCCAGCTTCTCTAAACCCAACGGGATCCTTCCGGATCATTTTGGTGAGAATTTTGAGAATTTATAAATCGTGTTCGTTTATTGTACATTATGCGATTAATTTTTATCAAGTATTATTTGTGTTTAATTTTAAATAAAATTATTTTAAATATTTTTCTGACCGCATGATGTATAATGAACAGACACGATTCACAAATCCTCAAGATCCTCACAAAGAAAATCCGGCGAGAATACAATGACACGAAGACATGGAGGTAAATTTGGGACGATGGAGTCACGACTAATAGCTGCGGCGATGAAAATGGAGCCGATGAGATCTTGAAAGAACAAATTAAATTTGGGACGATTGACCAAAGAAATAAGAGTTATGGAAAAAAAAAACTAATGAAAAGAGCTTGACAACTTTGAGTTTAATGATAAGGACAAAATAAAGGATAAAATGAATAGTACCAGAATTAACTTTTTAGTGTAAAAATGTGGTTTTTCGTTAAAGTAAACAGTACCGGGAGCTTTTCGTTAAAGTTAAAAAAAAAAAGGACCGATGAGATCCTCAGTATCTATGTTTTATATTGTAGTACGATGTGTTACAATGTGAACGGCAACAAATATTATGCATTAAAAAACGAAAATGTAGCAGAAAAAAACACGCTAAATTGTATGGCATATATAACATCTCATTTTGATGTCTATATTTTGTGGTGGAAAAATCACCAGATGCATCAAATTATTCTCCAAGCTGACCGTTGAAAAATCGAACCCTAACAAGCGGCAGCAGACAAATCAAATGCAGCCGTATACGTTGACAAATCACACACACGCTCATATTTATGTATGAATACAGATTCTTCAAGGGAAGGAATTCAAAAAATAGATATTAGTTGTGGAGTTCATTCAACATTGAAATTTATCGATACGAATTACGTATTTTTCAAGTTGCACCTTATAGGGCATTTTAACAAAATATTAGTCAAATCAGAGTTGAAGACATTAACGAACACTACATTCAAAAAAAAAAAATATTAAAATTTGATTGTGACAATTAAAGAGATAAATAGTTTCAGATTAGATTAATTTTTTGTAAAAATGATTTATGAATTGAGACTTACAAAATAAACAATCTGTATCATTAAAGATCGATGTGACATGTGTATGTATATATATTTATCGAGGAAATAACTTGGTCTTGTTTGACAACATCCGTACTTTGTCGTAGTTGATGCCATTTGGAAGACTAATATATAAAATCTGTCTCCTTTAAGTGGAAACATACATCATGAAAAATACGACATACATATTTTTCAAATGCATGGAACCACTTGAGTCCTTGACTTTGAAGTCGAGCACCCTTTAATTTCCCTTTGCATTCACATTGCATTTGGGCTTAAGATTATCTCTAGGACACTGAACCTGAGATTAAACTTAAATATAGGGCACGATTGACCTACAAAATATGAGAAGTCATCGTGAAATATGTAGATAAAAATATTGTAATCAATATACGAAGTTTCTTTTGCATGCCTTAATAGTGATAAAATCTTGGTTAACACCACCATTAAATACTAAAATAAAAAAGCCGTGCATTTACATTTGAATTCCTTGGGTTCATACGAAAAATTATAGACTAGTTACATGTAGTGGCAGATCTAAGATTCAAACTTTGTAGCGTCTCAATGTTAAGGTTCAAGTTTTTTAGATAAAAATAAAGCGCAAAGCACAAAAACAAAAATCAATTTATTTACTGAGTCATTTTCTCGAACATTTGGTGGTTTTGTTATTGTTAGCCAAATCATGTTATCACATATCAACAAATATCAACATATATCACAGCAACCTGATCAACAAATATCAACATATATCGCACATTATTTGAATGGGATAAAAATGCACTGAGGCTAGAAAGAGAGAAAAAGGATTAATAATGGCACTGCTGCTGCGTGCTGTAAAGTGCCTTAATTAGTCTATTTTCATCTACTTATTTTGTTTGCTATATATTTATGAGCTGTTTAATTATTCAAAACCATGACTCGAAGAAAGAATTATTATTTTCATGGACCAAAAAAAAATTGTTCAAAACTTGTGTAGCAAAAAGGAACAATGAACTTATTCAACATTACTTGAAAGAAAATCATTTACCAAGTCATAAAAAAATACTCTTGAAAAAAATGAAAATAAATAAAGGTTGATTTAAATCGTTTGCTCGTAAGAGAAGAGAAAACTCTTGCGACTGTATATACCAATTTAATATTAGGAAAACTAATGAAAAGGGTTTGAAAACTTTGAGTTTTAATGATAAGGACAAAATAAAAGGTAAAGTGAATAGTACCAGGATTGACTTTTCAGTGTAAAAATGTGGTTTTTCGTTAAAGTGAACAGTACCGAGTGCTTTTCGTTAAAGTTCCCTTTAATATTTTCTCTCATTACATAACATAATTTCTTGAATCAAGTGAAAAAAATGGGGCAAAAATATATTACTTTTATACTTATCTGAAATTTAAAAAAATACGTAACCGCCGAATAATCAAAATCAGTGTTCCAATGAAAGAGAGAAAAAATGAATAATGATGTCATTATGAGCAAAGAAAAAGGGAAAATGATGTCATCCAATTGCCAACAGGGTCATGATTAATGATGCAATTTATGGAATTGGATTAGCTCCGAACTTTAGTCTTCGGAGTCTAAGGATCAAATCACCTGGGTCCGCTGATTGGTGTGTAAAAGAAATTGAGCCGTTGATTTTGTGTGGCGGGCCAGGAAAATGAGTTAATGGATACTATTTGATTAAATTTGTGTAGGTTAAATGAATTGATCTATAGGTTCCAGATCCGGAGTGGATCCAATTTCGCAATTTATGAGTAGACAAATAAACACACACACAGAGGGAAAGAAATTTGAGCAAAAAAAAAAAGAGGTAAGGAAGTAAAATGGTCGCTTTCAAGTTTTGAGCAGCAGCATTAACTCCGCCCGCCCAATTAAGAAAAACAGAAAACAGAGCACCTCCAGTGCCTCTACGACTCGTGATTTTTAAAACCAAGAGAGACGGGCACTAAAGCTTTCTCCTTTTCCATTTCCTTTCCTTTCCTTTTTTATATTACAAAGATTGAATCTTTCTCTCTCGCTCTCCATGGCTGCTGCCAGAAACAGATGCTAAAAGGATTCTGGACATCGAAACTTGATCAGTAGTCTGCAAATCCACCAGGTGGGGTTTTTTTTTCTTTCTTTTTTTTGTTGATTTTCTTGGTTGCAACTTTTGGAAGCTTAAGAAGTTTCATTATTTTTGGTGTTTTGAGGAAGTTTTTGAGATTTTTGGTTGTGAAATTTAGGATTTTGGCAACATGGGTCGGTCCAAATCTGATTAGGGAGGGCTCTATGATCGAAAGGGAGTTGTTTTCTGAAAATTTGAGAGGACCCAGAAGGCAGAATTTGATTATTGTGGACAAATTAATATGAGTTGCAGCTGCTTCGGTGCTTCAGCTGCTTTCAGGAAAAGGGGTTCTGGTTCTGGTCGATTTGGCCGTGATCACGATGGTACGGACATGAATAAATTGTTCCACGCTCTTTGGTTTTGTTACTTTTTTACCTCCATACTTTGGTTTTTGTTCGTGTGAATCTGCTGGGCCATCATTGTTATGTGATTGATTGTTTGTTTTGTGTGTTGCATAGAGAATTTGCTGGAGAATACCAAGGCTTTCTCCTACGACGAATTAAGATTGGCGACGGATAATTTCCATTCGAGTAATAAGATAGGGATAGGAGGTTTTGGAACTGTATACAAGGTACTCAGAATCTCAGATTATGCAGATATCTTGTAATTGGTTCTATTGGGAAGTTTGCACCATTTTTTGAGAATTCATGATATCTGTGGTTTGAATTATGTTGTTTTGTTTCCAATTTGTTGCAATGATCAATGAGTTGGCTCAAAACATCAAGCACTTAAAACCTGATAGCTGACACTGGGAATTGGGTTTGCGTTTTAAGAACGCTTCAAGTTCTATCCTTATGTTCTTCTAACACATAGATGCATTGTTTCGTATGGTGAAAACTCTCACCTGTAGTTCAAGATTTGAGAAGAAAAAAAAAAAAGGATTTTGTATCTTCCTTGTATTTTGTTTTTGCTTAGATCATGTGGTGATTAAGAATGCTAGCCACCAATTTGGATTGAATTCTGTGACTTTTCAAGACAGTTTCCAAGCTTTCCTTGCTGGTCTTAATTGGCTTTTTAACCAAAATGGTCCCTGAGATTTGCCTAACACCTCACTTTGATCCTTGAGATTTGGAATCAATAGAAGTGGTCCCTGAGATTGTCCACCATCAATTCAACCATTTTGTTCTCTCAGTGAAAAGTTATGTTAAATAAGGATCAAAATGACAAAATTACCATTAGTATAATAAATAATAGGCCAAAATGATTTGACAAAAATTGAGGGTATTTTTGTTATTTTATCCTTATTTTATGGAGATTTTTCATGAAAATGCCAAAATGATTGATTGTGAACAAACTCACGGACCAATTCAATCGATTTCAAATCTTAGGGATCAAAGTAAGGGGTTATACAAATCTCAGGGACCATTTTAGCTAAAAAGCCATCTTAATTTTCAAGGGACAAACTATAATAGTGATTTTGCATTAATCAGAATACGTAGATGGTTTTCGTCCATGGCATTTCATATTATCTTTAGTTGTTTAGCTACGTTTTGCTAGGGGGTCCTGAAAAGTGGAAAGCATGTTGCTATCAAGACACTTGCTGCTCGGTCGAGGCAGGGAGTCCGTGAATTCTTAAACGAGATTAACGCTATCTCAAATGTCCGGCATCCAAACCTTGTTGAGTTGATAGGGTGCTGTGTTCAGGGAGCCGATCGAGTTTTGGTCTATGAATATGTTGAAAATAAAAGCCTTGATCATGCACTATTAGGTAATTGGACAAATTCTTTAGCATGTAAAGAAAACTGAAGGTACATGTACAGAAGGATGGATTTATAAGTCTAATTTATTTTCCTTTTGCTTGTAGGTCCAACGAGTAGAACCATCCAACTGGATTGGGAAAAAAGATCGGCCATTTGCCTGGGTACTGCCAGGGGTCTTACGTATCTTCACGAAGAACTGGTGCCGCATATTGTACATAGAGATATCAAGGCTAGTAACATACTTTTAGACAGAGATTTTAACCCGAAAATTGGAGACTTTGGGTTGGCTAAACTCTTCCCTGACAACATCACTCATATCAGCACAAGGATTGCAGGAACAACGTACGTTATTTCATATTTCTAGTTTATTGCTATTCATTATTTGACCTTCTATTTTCCATGATTAATTCGGTTAGGAGATTATGTTACATTGTAACTATTTTCCTCGCTTAATTCAATCATTATAGAGAGTTTATGTGATAAGTGTGAGAATATAGCTGCTTATGATTTAGTTTCGGTTTTGCAGTGGTTATTTGGCACCAGAATATGCATTGGGAGGTCAGTTAACCCTCAAGGCCGACGTTTACAGTTTTGGCGTTCTTATTCTTGAAATAGTAAGCGGCAGAAGCAGTGCCAAGGAAAACTGGGGTGGGACAGAAAAGCTTCTGCTCGAATGGGTGCGTTGTTTATTTCCATTTTTCGACAAAACTCTTGGCATCATCAGATTCATTCCATTTTTTCCATGATCATATGCGCAGTTATATATTGCGATTTTTTTGTGCCTTCATAGCAGCTGAGTTCTTATAATTTTTTGTACCTGTTTCAGTTTCTATTTACGTTCTTTTCCATGATCATGCTCGCAGTCTTATTCCGCTTTCTTTTACAACTCTTTCGTTTCTTCACTAGGCATGGCAGCTCCATGAAGAAGGGAGACTATTGGAGCTAGCTGACCCGGAAATGGGAGAGTTTCCCGAGGAAGAAGTCCTTAGGTACATGAAGGTGGCATTTTTCTGCACCCAAGCAGCAGCAAGCCGAAGGCCAAAGATGAGCCAGGTTGTTGACATGCTCTCGAGAAACATCAGAATCAACGAGAAGCAACTTACAGCCCCGGGTTTCTTCAACAACGCAGAGAGCCTAAGCGGGCCTTCGAGTAAAAAATCAGGTTCCGAAACCACTACCTATCAGATGAGTTCTGTCCCCGACACCATAACCCAAGTAACACCTCGCTGAAGAACAAATGTAATTGCGATTCAAAGGAAGACGGTGAAATATCCACAACAAATCATTCAACAGTTCATACCATTGTTGTCGTTAACCTTTTTACACGTTTTTTTTCTTCTTCTTTTTATTAGGCCATGTTGAGTAGGGGTTATTTGAGATAATGAAAAGTACTTAATTTGTGTAGCCAGGATGACGGTTAATGTTAGCGGGAAATACTTACAGAATCAAACAAGAAGGAAGAAGATAGATATATAAGATGCTTTTGACCAAAGCAAGAATGTTGGATGCCATAATAGTTGGGTTACAGGTTTTTCATTTTTATTTTTTGAAATGGTGCTTCATATTTTTTTGTCTGAGAAAGTTTTGAGAAGCGTATTTGCAAAAAGCTATGGAAAATTTTGCACAATACAATATTCGTAAACTACAAAACTGAGTTTCCGAACTTAAAATGCAGAAACAAAAACACAATTTTGTACCCAACTTGACTAAATCCGTAAATATTTTAACAAGATAATCACATGTATCATGGTTGATGGAATCTACTAATTTAAATTCAAACTTTTATACCCGGGACTTTTCTGTTTTCCTAATTCTGACCCAAAAAGACGCTGGCTCTGGTCCAAAAAAGTAATATTCATAAAATGTGTGTAAACAATGAAAATTCCAAATCCCAAGTATTACAATATTCTGATAAGCAGTAGCAAATGAATCCGGCGATACGTAGCCGATAGTTATTTAGAATCTCAAAAATGATAAAATCGATCAATAAAATGCGGAAGGAATCAAATCAAGCAGTGAGTTCCTCAGTAGGTGCCGGAGCGGCTTGTTCGGGTGCATCTGAAGAACCATTGGAGGTGGCATCCTTGGCTTCTGAAGCAGGCACCTCAGCTTCTGCAGACCCATTAGCTTTTGGTGCTGCATCCTCTGCATTTTTGGCATCTTTGGCATCTTTGGCAGGAGCCTTCCCATCTTTGGCGTCTTTAGCATCTTTGGCGTCTTTAGCTGGTGCGGGTGGGGGTGGAATCATGTGAGGTGGAGTTTTATGCTTCAGCTTCACAAGCACTTGCCGCAGCCGCGAAAGATCAGTGGGTTTTCCAGGCTTTGGGCCCTGAATGACTTGGATCCCAGGTTTCTTTTCCTGATCCTTCTTGCCTCTCCTCTTCTCAATGTTGGGAACCTCGTGAGGAATGAGCTCCGCGATTGCTTTCCAACTTTGCTTGTCAGCATTTTTATGGAAATTCTCTTGATTAACCAAGAATAACTGCTCGGCGCACAAACCAACTTGTTAGCGTTAGGAACAAAAAGCCAAAGCTGGTGTCATGAAGAGAGTAGTTAATAAAGGCATTCCAATATTTACCTTCTCCTTTTCTCTGTTCTCGACCTTGTTGGTCTCAACGTTAAGCTTCCTTTTCTCGTAGAATGCACGCTTGAACTCCTCAGCCTCTTCAATAATTTGGTTCCTCAGTTCTTTCTCCCTCTTCTCCTTCTCCTCAAGCAGGATTGCATTTTGACTATACCACAAAAGTCAAGATAGGTCATTAATTTTCTAGCACCCCTAGTTAACTAGTAGTTTTCTGTGCAGATCGACCAATGCGTGCACAAATCACTAAAGGAAAAAACTACTATCAACTTATCATTATCTTTGTGTGTTTTTTCTTTTCGGAAGTTTGATCAAATGACTACAATCAACTTACCGTTGGCGAAAGTCTCAAGTAACACAGTGCTGCCACATCATCATGCTATTTAAAAAGTTGTCGAATTTACGTGATATTAATGACATAGATTTCGCTAATAAATGATACTGAGTCCCATCAACAACGATAACCTGTTATTTCATTATTGGTTCGTTGTAGTTCAACTGTTATACCCAAGACTTTTTTCCTAACGACCATCCCATTGGATTCGTTGGAAAAACTGAACCACCTTTTTCGTCAACGAGTTGATTAAAACTCAGATGAAGTTTGATTAGCCTCAAATCAAACTAAATCACATAACTCACTAACTCTAGCAACGAAATAAATAACTGATTCTTCTATGATTATCTGAACGGAAATTTTCCTTCTGACAATCAGATCCAAGAAAATCAATAGCAACCCTCATTCCGACACACTAAATTTGACTCGAAAAGCACTACAATTTGGTTTACAAGCAGCTCCAAACTACACAAACACACTATCAACAGCTGATCTATATGTTTAAACACAGCATGAACTTAACAATCACAAAGCTTTACTTTGATCAATCACTTTCCGAAAATCGCAACTAAAGAACTGGCATTTCCATACCTTCTAGTGATCATAACTACAATAAATCACAGATCCAACAGTATTTCCATACAAACACCTACAATTAGCTCAAAATCTAAGATCAAACGGATGCAATTTCCCTAACGATGCAGAATTTCACAGATCTGAAGCAGCAGCTCACAAAGCAAGCAACTAAATTTACCAAAAAAAAAGCGAATCGGATCCGAATCTTACCGGCGCCACTCACGAAGAGCGGAACCTTCCTCGACAAACTCACTAGGCTCCGGGAGCACGGGACCGTCTGATGTGAAGACGCCATCGTCGATTCCGTTCTCGCCAACGCCGTAGCCATTGCCGTTGCCGTTCTCGACGGGAACGGAATCGAAAGGAGTGGAGTGGGAGTAGTTGGGGCTGGGATCTTCGAATCCGAAAACATCCGGGGAGGCAGGGGCGGCGGCGCCGTGGTCGGTGTAGGAGCCGTAGTCAGCGTAGCTCTCGACGACGACTTCGTCCTGGTCAAAGTGGCTGTTGGGGGCGTGGAGATCGTCGCCGTCCATGCTGAACGCGTCGAAGGATGCCATTTTTCGCGGTGGTGATTTCACCCCCTCTGTCTTTCTGTCTGAAGAGGATTTCAGTGGAAATGCAATGCCGGGTGAGAAAGAGGTTTAGAGTTCTAATTTTTTTACTCTTTTTTCGCCTTTTTATATAGTTAACGGAGAAGGTGGGCGACTGAAAGAGAGAAAGAGTAAATTGCCGTTAGGTTCCCTGACTATTACCCAATTGAAATTGACTCCTTAAAATATATATTTTTGTGATAAATTAACCCACTAAACTATTTGAAATTATCAAATTAACCTATCACCGTTAGATTCAATGAAATTTTATCCACTTTGCCATTAAATATTGTCACATGCATGTGATTCACTCTTGAGGGGTAAAGTTGTGCCAGTGTTTGATGGCAAAATGGATGATTATCGAATCTGACATTGAGAAGTTAATTGACTGATTTCAAAAAGTTCACTGGTTAATTCACTAAAAATTGTTTAGGAGTCAATTTCAACGGAAGTAGTAGTTCAAGAGGTCAAACGGTAATTTACCAAGGAGAAAACAACTTTTATCAAGGCACAATTGTTTTGAAAGTAAGTATTTACCTTGTCAATGGCGAGATTTTCGCAGTAAATTTTGACTAAAGTTTGAGTCACCATTTTTTTACTCTACATTTTAACTTACTGTAATTGGGTAATTGATGTACATAATCAACTTACACTGTTGTAGATAGTTATATTAACTTGAGCAGATGTGCTCCACTATATTCACCAAATTCAAATTCTTCCATGCAATTTTTTGAATAGAGCGATAACTTTAGTAAGTTAAATAGTTAGTTGCAAGGAAAGAGAAATTAGTAGAAATCAAACCTGCACCAGGATACATATGCATACAATTAAAAAAACAAAATAAATTTGTTAATTGGCAAGACATGTACATCAAATTTGGATTCTGCGACGATGGACGTTTGGTAACCACTTGCGTCAATTTCAAAGCAAAAGCACCAACTAACAACAAACCGATTTGCACGCTCTACTCAACATGTCTTATGTGTATACCGCTTTATGTATATCTCTCTCATCATATGACGGTATGTCCTGACGCTTATATTTTATGCTCGTGCCGCACTCTGCGCTTATGCGAGGTTGCTACCAGATTCATCAAAGTAACAACAAACGGAATACCGGTACAAAAATTTCCATTCCGTCGGCGGTGGGTGAACTATTTTACATTAGCTTGATTTACATCAGTAATCCGGAAATCGACATTTTCTAAGACCTCCTAATCTTCGCAGAGATGGACACTGAAAGAAAACTGGCAATTGGACTGAAATAACTGTCGATGGTTAGAGTGTACCGTGACTACATATCCGCGACTTTGAGCGTAGCGAAAAGCTGCCCTCGAAGCCTCTGTGTCCCGTTTTCTTCCGGTAAATAAACATCAATACACTGTCAATCCGGCCTAAATAGGCTCTTTCAAAGGTCTGGGAAGAAATGCATCAACCACACAAAAAAGGAGTTACACGGCATTGCCTTCTGTAAATGTGCGAGGAGGCTTATAAGCATTTGGTTGGGGGGAGGAAATCGTTACAACAATGACTGGAAACCCCAAGAATGTTAGGACTGTAGTCGCCTCACAAGCACCTCCCCGGTCTTTCAGAAGAATCTGGAGCGAAGCTGCAAGCTCAATCTCGTCTGCATTGTAAGAGGTTTGGGCTCTCCATGGTTCTTGCCCTTCTCTATAATATGTACGGCAGACATGTTGCCTCAGTAGCTATACCAAAATGGGATGAAATGGTGGTATGACTTTCAGGGAACTGGCGGAGCATTTTTCGGATATCTAGAAGAAGAGGGCATCCGTTGCAGAACTTGTGGAAACTCCTGCTTCATACGTTTATTTGGCATCCCTTGGAAAGACCTTTTTGCCAGAAACACCAAGTTAGAAGGGAAGAATACGCATAAGTTATACTCATGAGTTCTAGTTTGTTGGCCACAGCTGTACAACTAATCAAAGCTGCAAGAGCTTTCATGTCATGTGCACCAAGAGCGACGAAATAGAGCCAACTGAATTATTGGCTAGCTTTCGGGGATGGTTGATCCAGCCATAGTTCAAACTTCAATAAAAAACTGGCAAAAATAATTAAACGCTTGCAGCTGATGAATTCACACACCTTGGAGAACCCTGACGTTTCTGAGCAAATAGAGTTGGTCTTAGACTTCTGAGCGCCTTTTCAGCAGCCTGGAAAAAGGTTGTTTAGGTGCTAAGATATTACATTTCGAAAATAATTAAGAGCCCACAAAGGGTACTCGGAATTGGAAGAGTAGAAAAATTACCTGCATCTTAGCCTCATCCCACGTCAACCCAATCCCCTTCCCCAGAACCTCTCCATCTATTTCAACCTGCAACATGATAACGACGCAGAATTATAAAGAAAAGAAAGAGAAAAGAAACATGCATCAAGGATACTGAAAGATTATCC